TAGGAAGTATTTCTTAAGACTGATATAAAAACATACATAACCGTATAAAACACTCATATATATAACTTTTGACTTTCTCCAGCTCCACTATCACCAGTCTGCCTTCAGGCCCTCTCAGCTGTGTTCGCACCATCACTGATAGTCTAATCGTGTAAATATGTGCAGTGTACACTGATTGACAAACCCGAGTCTCTTCAAATATCTTGCGTAAATACAAAAATTCCCTCACCACTCTGTGTCAAAGAACAGTGACCTGAGAGGCACCTATCTGAATAAACAGCTGCTGCAGCTTTCTATGTATTCATTCTGTTTATTTGAGTCGGATTTTCAATTTTTTTTCGGATGTTGCAGTTTTATACGGTTATTTTCTTATTTGTATTTATTTTTTTTAAATGCAGAAAAACATTTCACAGTGAAGTTAAGTGCATGTATATGTAATAGGTGAGCCCCTCTTCTGTCATCTTGCCCCACCACCACCACCCCAACCACACCTGGCTTCTGTCTCACCTTGATTTTATTATACCTGGATATGAGTGTGTCAGGTTTGATGGAGGTGAAAACCGGGGCAGAGGTTGCACACGTTTATAAGAGATGGGATATCATCCAGAAACAGAATGTGTGATAACCAAAATATGTATATCAGATGGAAACGTGATGACAATTAACTTATACAACCTTTGTTGATGATTTTTATGATTGAGGTCATGAGTCAGCTTCTCCTCAGGGAACAAGGCTGTGATTTGTGATATCCTCATGTTGACATTCAGGAGCAGATCAAGATACACTTTTTCGCCAAAAATAAGAGTGATTAACAGAGATTTTACGTCTAAATTTAAAAGATCATTAGTGTGATTCAACAACTATATTCGACAAAGAAGGTAATGGGCATTGTTTGTGGGTCATGTCCTGGATCACAATATGAACCTCTTTCCAAATTGTTTGGATGTGGTCACATGACCAAAACACATTATCGTTTTTTTTGTTTTTTTTTATCATTTTGTTCATGTATAAAGTTTGATGTGCATTCCTGAAAAATTCCGTCGTAGAGTCTTTCGCAATCTTCAACACTAAATGTCCCTGCCAGGTCAAGTTGCCACAGCGGCTTCAGAGACTCGCAGTCTGAAGATTCAGAGTATACAGCAGTAAAGCATACAACTTGGAGATATTAAACCTTTAAGCGATTGGGCAGAAATCAAGACCCTTTCATGTTCTGAGAGTATGAATTGTTTTTCATCTTTGTTTTCTAGCAGTGACTCTGTAAAGTGGTAGATATTTGGAGATATCTGTAAAAAATCCTTATGTGGAATGTCAAAATCAGTTTTTGACTGGCTCAAACTTCTTAACAGAGCCAGAGCTCAAAAGGCCTGTAAGATCTGATCGAGCTTTGGAGGACCACTCCAGGACGCCAAAATCGGGATTCAATGCCAGGGGTGACCAAGCAGAAATTACGGAGGGACCAGCAGTTTGTTTTAGATAATCATAGTGAAGTGATTTCAATTAATCCAATGAAGGGACTTCAGTTATATATAACTAAATTAGTTTTATAACCTGGCAAAGTATTAAGTTAGAATTCAGAGCTGCAGGAAAAGATTGATCAGGCTTCTTAAGATATAGTAAAACATCATCCTCAAACAAGTCAATAAAGTGTTTATGAGTGGAATATTAAAGATAATATAAGTATTGATCATTGTCCCATAATATGCGCATTAAAAGCTGACATAGATTTTCAAAAAAGGCACAGGCATCAGAATTGGTGGAAGAAACTGATTGGCCAGAATTACAAGAAATAAGTTTTAAATCTCGTGTTGAATCCCTCACTAATCACTGTTTGTTGTGTGCATGTGTCGGATGGACTTCTTGGACCACACGCAGACTTTAACACTGGCGTATTCTTGATAAGATGAAGCAATAATCCATGGCACATTGAAAATAACTTTACTGGCACGTTATTGTTCGCTCACAGTAAAGTCATTTTCACTGTGTCTCAGATGATTGATTTATCTTATCATTGTATGTTTATGCTCCCGACTGGCACCTGAGAGCAAAGGTTGGCTGTGCACGGGTATCCTGTTGGTCATTTAGATTAAACTGGTGTATTCTTATCTGCAAGTCTATTAGAGGTCTACTTCCTTCTTTCCTTCTGATCTACATCAGTCAGAAGAGTACAGGGACTTACAAGTAAATACTAAATACTAAATGCAGCATTCAAAATCAGACCTTTCAAGTCAATTGGGGGGCAAAAAGGAAAGGGTCCTATGGTGGAATGATGAATGTACAGAAGCTATTAAAGAACAAAATGAAGCACTGAGAATGTTAAGGAATAATTTGAAACAAGATAATCTGATTAATTATCAGAGGAAAAATACTCACGCTTGTAGAGTAATTAAGAACAGTTACCACAGTGCATGGATGAATTATTGTCCTACCAATGGTATGGAAACTAAAATATTCCTCCCCTCCAGCAGGCATTACAGATCACTGTACGCCAAAACAACCTGTCATAAGAACAGTTTCTTCCCCCAGGCTGTCACTCTGATAAACATCTAAACAGTCACAGTGTCAGAACTGTCTGACTTGTAAAATAACTCTGGAACCAAACATGCAATGTGAATGTACATATATATACTGTATATTATTCTTATTATTTAATTTAAAGAGGACATATTATTTTCCTTTCACACCTTTTAAAACAGTCCAATGTGGTCTAAACCACCTACTTTCCTGAGAGCTCTTGAGCTCTCTTAGGCTAGATCGTTGGTTGACGGCCTGCCAGAACAAGTTTTTTCTTACCACTGTAACTTTTGCTGCTTTGCTAAAGTGCTCATGATGGATAGGCCGGATCTTTGTAACATAACAATAAGTAAGGTCTTTTACCTGCTTTTTGTAACATAACAATGAGTAAGGTCTTTTTACCTGCTCTTTTGTAATGTTAACAGACAAAGAGTAAGGTATTTTACCTGCTTTTTGTAAAGTGTCTTGAGATAACACTTGTTATGAGTTGACGCTGTACAAAATAAATTGAATTGAATTGAATTAAATGAAACATCTGTGCTGTGCTTTAGTCAAAATATAACATGAATCAAGCACCAGAGGAGGTTTGTGACCCTTTATAAACCAGCTCTCTGTAAAAACACTGTACAAGTGGATTTTTCATAATATATCAATCTGTGGACATCTATAATGTAAATACTGTTAAACTCTACCTCATGTATTAACCCATCTGTGGAAAAAGATAGGCCCGTAAACTTGCTCAAATGCTGATAATTATAACCTGAAGAAGACCACTGGTCAAAACGTTGTGATCATTAAAACCTTTTTAGCTGCATTTTAGCAAGTGTGCAGGCCTATCTTTTTCCTCAGTTTTGCTGTTTTTGCCCTGCACCTACGTGATGTGCGTATAACTACCTCTTTTTCTAAATGAACCCATCTGTCACGTAATTACATTATTTATTATCATGTTTACTTCAGAATCTTTTGCACTACTCACCACTGAGAATACAGTTCGCCAAAGTTAAATTCCTTGTGTGTGTAAGCGTACCAGGCCAAAAAAGCTTATTCTGATCCTAATTCTGATCCTGAATATGAGAGGTATGGTCAATGCTGAAGAAAATGAGTGAGAAGAAAGTATTTGGATGTAGCACTGGCAATAACAGATAAGGAAAAGGCAAACATGTTTGGAAAGAAATTTGCCTAAACTAGTATGCAAGTGGTGACCATTTAGATGATACCATTGATACTGAAATCAACATGAATGAATTAGTGTTAGAATTAAATGGGATAAAAATACTGCTACAGGAGAAGATAATGATGTGAGCTATGTCATGTTCCAGAAATGACCTGAATAGGTGTTAGAGATCATTTTGAATTTATTTATTAAGATATGGGAATAGGGAAATATGCCAAATAATTGACAGAGTGCTTTAATATGATAAACCTGTTAAGGTTCATAATAATGCTAGCAATTATAGATCCATCACCTTAACCTTCCTTCTATGTAAGTGGATGGAAAATATATTAGTTAGAAGACTTTATTACTTTCTTGAAAACAGAGGATTATTCGCACCACATCAAATTGGTTCTAGAAAAAAGCGTTCAGCTATGGATGCTGTTATCTATGTGGGGGTAATTTGGTCTTATATTTTCTATCAGAAAGATTTAGAGTTAAAGTAGGATCAGAAGTGTGTGATGAATTTGAAATTGCTAATGGAATTCTGCAAGGCATTGTCATAAGTCCAGTTTTATTTTCATGTTATGATTAATGATATTTTTATGAATGTGGACAGAAGGATTGGATCAGCTCCATAGGCGGATGAAGGGACCATCAGCCGCCATAAAGAAAGTAAAACAATAGTCATATATTTGATGCTTTAACCTTCCTTCGGTAATGATAATCCAACAATTTAAGCTTTTAAAACGACTTATTTTTGTAATAAAGAGATCTCTACATGTCATACTGGCCTTCTTTGCAGCTTTTATCATTCTTGTTTACATTCATATATATTGAAACTTGAAGCTCACGTGTCTGCCACATCTTTTCTGAAGGCGTTACTAGCAAGTGGGTTATGTATAGGTTGACTCTCCCTTGAAAAGATTTATTGTCATTTCATATCAGGGTTAAGAACAGATGAGTAAAGTAAGGACCATAATTGTCCTTACACAATATGGGTTGGCTGTAGCTCAGTGGAACAGTCTGTCAGTGGTAGTAGTTTTTTTCATCATTGTACTTACTAAAAAGCTTTGATTAGTACGTAACAAGTCTAATCATACTCTCAAAGATAGAGCAGTCCTTTGGAGGACCAATTATAGAGTGAACATGTGTGAAGAGTAATGATTGATTAATAGAAAACTAAGAATTCCAATAACACATCTTGGAATATCCCATCCTCATTTCCAGCATCCCTGATGCAAGTCTGTACTGACAGGGATGAGGAAACAGGGGCCTCATGTATATAAATATCAGAACATTTTCCATCCCAACCATCAGACAGAAGACGCAGAGCTGACGAGAGTAACAAACAGAGTGAAAGTAACTCAAACCTCGCAGGTCAAGATGAAGACATTCAGTGTTGCAGTTGTCATAGCCATGATGCTGGCTTTTATTTGTATCCAGGAGAGCTATGCTGTCCCACTCACTGAGGTAAGAACTCAACATAAACTCAAATAGTAAGTAAGTAAGTACATCAAACTTTATTAATATAGCACCTTTAAAACACTCAGTCACAAAGTGCTTAACAATTTAAAGCAATCAAACAATTCACACAGGGAATTAATTTACATCAATACAATGTCACAATGTCAAGCAGGGCAACGTTAAGAGCAGGAAAACTCAAAAATAAACTAAGCACAAGAAAAGGTTAGGGAGTTACATGAAGGCTTGTTTGTACAGGTGAGGTTTTAGATGCCTCTTGGAGAAGCCTAAATATTTTTGCTGATCTGATGGTTTGTGGGAGTTGATTCCAGAGAGTGGGGCATTAAACATAAAGCGCAATTATCTTTTGTTTTATGATTAGAGCAGGCGATGGTCAGAAATGTAGCTGGGGGTGAGGTCATGCAGGGCTTTGTATGTTAGTTAAATAAGTTTGTCGTTGATTCTGAATTTCCTGGAAGCCACTGATGGGACGCAAGAACTGGAGATGTGGGAATGACGGCTGGTTCCAGTTAATAATCTGTTAGCTGCATTTTGGACTAGCTGTAAACGGTTTGTGGATGATTGGCTGAGGCATGTATAGACATAGAGTTCTTATAATAATAAGAAGATAGAAGTGTGTATTAATATTTCAAGATTTAAAGGGGAGAGCAATGTTCTGATTTTTGAGATTTTTCTAAGTTGCAGGAAACAGGACTGCACAAGCTTAGTGGTGTTAGTGTCAAAGGTAATTTGTTGGTCAAAGATGATTCCAAGATTCTCAGCAGTTAGTTTGATGTTTGATTGAAGAGGGCCAAAAACTGTTCAAGTGTATTTGTGAAATGATCGGGCCCATTTAAAAGAGTTTGGGTTTTATTATTAGTACTGGTCATGAATGTTTTTACAAAGATGTCAAAATGTGGTTTCATGTTCAACAGGTTGAAGAACTGGAGGAGCCAATGAGCAATCAAAATCCAGTTGCTAAACATCCAGAGATCTCATTGGACTCTTGGACGGTACGTTTGGTTAGCTGAATAAATGACTAATAGATGATTTCTATAAACAGCTCCAGAGATAATAAACAGAGTGAATGATGATGCTGAACTCTTTCCTCTTGTCTTCTGTTTTCCTCTCACAGATGCCGTACAACAACAGACAGAAGCGTTCCTTTAAATGTAAATTTTGCTGTGGCTGCTGCCAGCCTGGTGTCTGTGGACTGTGCTGCAGATTCTGAAGATTCCTGCTTCAATAAACGATAAATATCCATTTGTTTGTTCTGTACTTGTTTTCTAGATTTCAGACAAGATATCCAGTCACACGTAATAAAACAATAAATGCATTATTATTGTATCAGAATTTGTAACTTGTGTTTCTTTAATAATACCATCAGTGCTCTCTGCAGAGGAGGATGTGCAAAGATTCAACAAAAATGCAATGAATTACAAAAATAACAAATCCTGGTATGCGATTAAAAAATAACTTGTGTTTATATCTATTAATATTTAAGTATTTCTTTGGGATTTGTCTAATGGCTAGTGAGCCTAAAAAGTAGATGTGAAATGGCTGGTCTCCAATATACTGTATATCAAGACATAAATTAAAATGTACTGTCAGTAAAATTAAAACAAAACTATTTGAAACTATTCATCCATTTCAATGTGGTACGTTATAATAAATAAACTACAGTACTAAACTAAACTAAACTGTATTGTATAAATTATAAGGACAATAATATACGTTTTTTTTAAATTGCATAAATTCTTTATTGGTTGAAGTAGAATTTATTGAGTAAATAATCTGATGACACATTATATAAACATTAGATATGAAAGTTAACTAATGGCTTTCTTTGCACTTTTATTTTCTTTTAAATTTGGTTTTATTCCTAACTATCTATTTTCTTGAATTTATCTGTAAAGAGGCTGTGGTTTTTGTTTATGTGCAGTCTTTAATTTGACAACTTGTAAGCGTTGGGAAATCACACATTATGACACCAGTGCCACATTTCTGCAAATGAGCACATAAACTCTGCTTCTGATCCTTCACACTGGTCCTTTACTACTTTTTGTTCCAGTTTTTGTGTAATAAATGCTTAAACCAGGAGATTTGATTAAAGAAAAGTACACACCATTGTTACTAAAACACTTTATTGCATGTTAAGGGATCAATCACAGCACATAATGCAGGTGGTTGATCCCCTTGAAGTTGTATGGCAGCAACGATAGCATATCATTTGACTGTCATGCTTCTGCCTGTTGGGAATCGGCCTCTGTGTGAAAGAAAAGAGACTTAAGTTGATCTCCAGCATCAGTTCTTTCTTCTCTCTTATTACTGGAAAATCATCAGAACATTAAGCAGTAAAAACACATCCACGCACAACAGAATATCCTGTTTGTATTTGTCTTGTCTTCTTCATTGAATTGAACATACCTTCCATGATTCAACTTGCATCTCTTGATTAGCAGCAACTGGATCATCATTGGCCATTGGCTCCTCCAGCTATTTGTACACAGGAAGCAATGTGTTAGCATTCTGACAAAACTCTCTGACAAAACTCTTATGTTATGTCTAATTTACATTCTTTGAGCTAAGTTCTTAATGTGACTGGGACTGCCGAGTTCTTCTGAAGGCAAATGAAGCTGAGAATGTCGACCACAGCAACAGTGAATGTCTTTATCAGATAGTGATACTGTCTGTTTGAGGTTTGGATTGCAATGAGTGGTTGTATACTTTGCTGTTTCATTGTTGCCTCATCACTGGCAGAACGTATCGTGCTTCCAGTAATGGGCTTTCATCTCGACCAAAGCTGGAGTGACTCTGGGACATTTTTTTTTTTACTTTTTGACCTAAGGCCATATTGTCTGTTGCACAACAAAAAATGAACTGTGAACTTTCAAATGAAATGGAATGTAATGTCCTGCAATTTATACATGAGAATTCGTACCCAACCCATTACATTTGCATAGCACATACAAATTTGATAACATGGGTATGAATTGTATGGATCCTCAGCTGCATGCCTCTGAAATTCTTTACCGAAATAAACTCAAGTTGCTTTTATGGTCGGACATTCATTCCTCTTGTGAGCAGCTGAAAGGTGACCTGGATTTTAAGTTATATTTGCATTGATTCTGATGTTTTTCCTCTTAAACATGAAATGTATTATCATATTTTTAATGATCTTTATTTGTATGAATTATATGTGTGGTAGGAATATTGGTTATATAGCATATTCTGTCCTTTGCTAATAAAAAGGGTGAATCAACTGCTTTTATAGCACTTTTCTCTTCTGACTATAAAGCGCTTTTATAACACAGGTCACACCTACCCATTCACACATACTGTAGATGATAGGGTCAGTCGGTATTAACTAACCCCACTCATACAAAGTCATGGCAGCAGGAGCTGGGAATCGAAACCCTGAGATTCTTCTTAAGAAACGACAGTCTCTTCCACTGAGCCACCTCCGTTTTTAGTAATAATAAATCTTTAAATGTTTTTATTAATTAAGTGTTATAGTAAACTTTTTACTTTAAGCTTTTAATTAATTCCATTACTATAAATAAACACTTAAGTGTTTTACATTATTATATTACTCTGCTGGTCCTTGAGCTAGCTGCAAGTAACCATGGTCACAAACAGCACAAATGGGTCCATACCTGTTTAAACCAGCCATATTTTGTAAAACATTACCCTTTCTATCAATTACTGTTTAATCTTCTAAAGCACAATTATTTAAGGTCATGGAAGACACATTTGTGGAAAAAAAGTATCTTAAGTCTAAATTCATGAACTTGGGCTTTGATTTTTTTTCAAACTGTGATTCATTGTTGAGTGCATTATAAACTTGATTTTGAGATGTCTTATTTGAATAAGTACTGCAAAGCTTAAAGAGTGTGTTCTAAAACCAGGACTTAGGGGTACTGTTGGAGATTGCTTTAAAGAGCTGATTCTCTAAAATATTGTGTTCCTTTTCAATTTTTTGACACACTGCTACACATTAAGAAACACGCAGTAGTGCATGAACAGATTGACTCAGTGATTTTCCATGATCCCCATTGTTACTGTGATTTTACTTTTCAGGAGTTCCAGTTTATCTGTCTCATAAAAGTCCTGTATGTGTGAAACTATTGCTCTATTTGACAGTGAGGCATACAACTGTTCACTACAGAAAAACCTGAGGACGTTCCTTCAACACTTCTTCCACAATGTTGACTTGCCTGCAGTCAGGTGCCGACCACAGAGCAAGCACTGGAGCTAACTAAGGTGATTCAAAATAATACTCTGCTGGCTTTGATAATGAGGTTGCCAACTAACATCAGCCTGACGTATTTGAATTCAATAAAACACAAGGTGCATATTACTCATGACTTGTCGACTGTGAAATGAGCCATTCAATGGCACAGCAGTGTCATTTTTTCCATCACTGCATTGGAAAGTCAGCTAACTACTGTGCACCGTAAAGTACAAAATACCATGTAATTAATGGGATTAAAAAAACATGTTTGCTTTAATTTCAGTCCTAATTGCATTTAGATTAACGCGTTAGCGCTAACAGCCCTACTAATTACATTTAATGTAAGGGACAGAGTCCTACTGTACTTGTGAAAAGGTACTTGGTGACTCTTAACTGAAGAGATCCTACTTTAGGTTGGTGTTTATTCTTAATGTGTTACCTTGAGTTTATGGTGCATGACAACAGGAAAGCAAAGAGAAAATGTTCCGTCAGACAAAAAGTTGGTCAGGTGGGATGTTGATCATAGTCTTGTCCATCTGTGGTAAAGATCAATATTTTGTTTCCTTCTATCTCAGTGTGATGGGTGAGATGGAAAGTATGCTGTTACTTATCTATACTACCTACGTTACAGAGCCTGCTGTCACAACTTGCACCCCTCTCTCAGGGATAATGGGAAAGAGGGGAAATTCCTCAGGAATGTTAGATTGAAAAGGTCTTGGTTCAGCTTCAGCTACCTGACTGATTTCTTTTGGCGTTTTTTGGTTTTTATTCTTATTGTGTGTTTTTAGATTTGGAGTTATGCGTGCTAATATTTACAGTATCATTACCTATTTTGTTGTCTCTTTTTTGTTGTAATAAACGTATACTTCCTCCATCATGAGCCTGCTGTCAGGCCCTCTCTCTTTCCCGTGTTGGCCCAGGACTGATTGTCTGGTAGTGTACAGAGAAAAAAGTAAACCTGTGTAAGTCAATATGTGCAGTTTACACTGATCAAGTCTGGGGACTTCTGAACTTTGAGTAACTAGAAAACTTGCCCAACAACCAAAATCCCTCACTTCACAGTACTCTGTGTCAAAAAACAATGACCTGATGGACACCTGTGGAGCTCCACAGATTGCAACTGCTGCAGAGTACTTTATGCAACTATTCTGTTTATTCAGTGTGAGCTAAAATAATCATAATCTATACATTGATTATTATGAAAAAATTGTAATAATAATAATATAAAGTAACACTTTTAAATATTGACTTCTTTTAACACAAAATAATCATTCCATGTTTTAGGACTGCAGGAGAAATTGATTTTCCTGACACTGAATTCTCATGTTCATTCTTTCAGTAAGAGTTTCACTTTGTTTGTTGTCTAGAATATTCTTTTGTTGAATGTGAGGGTAGTATTTTTTTTCCCTGAAAGAAAAATCTCTGATTAAACGAAACCTCCCTTTAATTCTTTTTGAAAAGATTAACAAATACACCGTTATGAGAGATTTAAAATACATGACTTAAACGTGAAAAATGTTGTCATGTTGCAACATACAGCCTCTTTATGTAAGAATATATACTAAGAACACTAGAGGAGGAATTTCCCATTCTCATTCCCGGCATCCCTCAGAGAGTGATGCAAGTGTCTTCCTGACAGCAGATACACTGAAGTCCCGTCAGTGATTAGAAAACAGAGGCACGATGAGTATAAATACTGTCACATCTTCCATCTCAACCATCAGACAGAAGAAACAGACAGAGGATCTGACCAGTGCCATCCACAGAGTGAGACGATCAAACAACCTAAAGTTCCAAACAAGATGAAGACATTCAGAGTTGCAGTTGTTGTGGCCGTCATATTCACGTTTATTTGTATCCAGGAGAGCTCTGCTGTGCCAGTCACTGAGGTAAGAACTTTACCACAGTCATGTTATTAGTCATGAATGTTTGACCAAAATGTTCACATGTGGTTTCATGTTCAACAGCTTCCAGAGGTGGAAGAGGCAATAAGTAATGACGATCCAGCTGCTGAACATGAGGAGACTTCAGTGGAGTTATGGATGGTATGTTCAGAAAACTGAAACAATGAAGCCAATTATCAGGAGCTACTTCAGGTGGATGTGTTCTCCCTCAGGAAGCTGAGAGAGTAAACAGAGTGAGTGATGACGCTGGAGATGAACATTTCCCTCATGTCTTCTTCTCTTCTCACAGATGCCGTACAACAACAGACAGAAGCGTTCCTTTAAATGTAAATTCTGCTGCGGCTGCTGCCAGCCTGGTGTCTGTGGACTGTGCTGCAGATTCTGAAGATTCCTGCTTCAATAAACCATAAATATTAATTTGTAGTGCTTTATCCTTTGTTCATGTGTAGCCCATGTTCTTACTCATGTGACAAAATATTTGGCTGGTCACACCCTGCATAAACACAATAAACTTCTACATTATAGTTTTATTATTTTGAACTCTTGTTTTCTTAATTACATTAGTTCTTTCTGCATCTCTTAAGTTTCTTAAGAGATGCATCATCGTCCTGATTGCATTTAGAGAATGTAAGGCATTTAAGAGGAGAGCAAAAATGCAAAGAATAACTAAAGGATGTGATTCGAAATGAATATGTTTATGAATTCTCTTAGACATATTGTTAACAAAAATAAAAGTCCTACAATACAATCTTACTCCTTGGCAAATAGTCTGTAATGTGCTTGAAACCTCTCTCTTTTGGTCGGACTCTCTAGATTGATGTGTTGCTATCCAAAAAATAAAGGCAAATGGTTAATTTGATATTTTTAAGTGATTTGCAAAAGTACATTTATTCATTCAAATACAATTCATAAATAATTAAGTTGCAGCATGCAGACATAAGACATGACAGTGCATCAGGAGTTACCTTTGCACTATGTTCTTCTAGTGAACTTTGTTTTATTCTTTGTTTCCCCATTAATTTATTAGTGAAGAGGCGATGTCGTTTTTTTATGTACAGCTCTTTATTTGACAAAGTGATAAAAACTAACAAATGATAAAACCCCTTCATTTACAACTACAGTCATGCACATCCAGCTCTGCCTTTCTGCAACATAAGTAAACTCAGTGCCTACATTTACATAGGATATACTTGATTTCGGCTGTATTTATGTGTAAAATGTTGCACATTCTTGCTTTAAGTGGTTGTTAATAAAATCCCAGAGTAGTGCAGAAATCTTCAGAAGGAGCAACAGATACCACACAATGCAGCTCCATCAGAGTTTAGTGTAGCAGAACTAGCATCCTGTGATGTTGCTAAGCTTGACCCAATATGTTATTTATACCTGGGACTTCCACTGTTGCCTCATCACTGTCAAAACAGCATCAAAATGATGCTTGTTTTGACAGTGATGAGGCAACAGTGGAAGTGAGATGAAGATTGGGTAATGATTAGTTTTTTGCCCTTTGACCTTAGTGCCCCTTGCATAGAATCATATCAAGCATGAACAAGCTTATCTACCAACCACTATTTGATCTTTGATAAAATCTACAGAAAGGATGAACACATGCTATTTGCTCTCGTGTCTGACTGAACTGTTTGGAAATATTCCCTTTTATTTGCTCCTTCCTGCCCAGCTACTTGTTCTCCAATCATGAGCAGAGAGACATTTTGACACAAAACTGGGCACTTTGCCAACACATGTGTAACACAGGAAGAAAATCCTATGGCAGGCTGTTGTAATTAGTCCAATAAATGTTTTTACTTGGATGTATTTGCAACAAAGTGGGGCTTATTACTGCATGCATGGGTTTTATTGTTGGAGCTTGTAAGCGGATGATGTCTTCTGCACAGAGTCAAAGGCCACTGCTTTTCTGTGGTAATGAAACAATTTTACAGGAGCCCTTGCAATAACAAAACCTACGTTTCTGCCGCTCTAGATGCAAAAATGTGAAAAACATACTGCAGGGTTTCTTAAATTAGGATGTAATAAATTATTTACCCTTAGTTGCTTTTCCACTTCTCCTGATAAAAGATGTGAGGATCCCTCTGCAATGGCACTCTTCATTAAACATGCATGAACATATGAACAGATTTGTATGAACTACAGTACGGCTTTCAATAAAATCAGAGCTTTTGTAAATGTGTTTATTACTGTTTCTAATACCAGATTATAACTGGCCAATTACAGCATTCCAGGGTCTTTTATTTGTCTAAAGCAAACAGTTGAAAGCAACTCTGATAACAGGACAATCGCTTATCATATATCAATCTGCAGAAAGCACTACAGGAACACAGGGAAGGGTTAAATACACAAAAAGTCAGAAGCTGTGACAGAGAAATAAAAAAAAGGACAATGACACATGAAGTAAACAAGATGAATCATGGTAGGAGATACAACAGTGTTTAAAAAAATGTAAACGGAGACTAACAAGCCCTTCACTTATAATGATTTAAAAAAACAAATGTTTTCAATAAAGGTTATGTAATAGGGCGTGGTTATTAAGTTGTTATTCAGTATAATGTATAAAAAAAAATATTGATTTAAAATGTTATATGGGTCTAAAGTTACTGATTGGTGACATGTTTCCGGTCTTGGGAACTAGACTCCAGGTGCAGGGGGCCTCCGGGCCTCCATTGACTGACATCATCATTTGCACATGCTCATTTGCTCCTCTTCAATACCTGCAATACCTCCAGTTCATAGATGTAGACACACTGAAAGCCTTACCTTGATGTGCAGAAGCTGCCAGTGAGGACTCTGAAGGTTCTTGCGATAGATGTGGCTTTTCACAGGGCGGTGATGCAGATACAGTAAGGGGGAGCAGGAGAGGGTGATAAGGAGGGGGTCAAGCCAGCTGGCCCATATTGCTGCCACATGAATGGATTTGTGTTTAGGGGTAAAATAAAAGGGATAAAGTTGAAGGATGATTTCTTAGTGATCCCGATCAATTGAAAGGTAAACAGAGAGTTAGCCCGGATGTGAGTGGTTGGCTGGAAATGTGCACAATTTGGTATTGATGAGTGATGTAATGAGAGGCCATTTGTATTGCGGTCCCTATGTGGTAAAGCCTACAAAGCATCCCCTCAAAGAGCTTTAGTTGCTTGGCCTCTAATTTTCTTTGACTGTGTCCTGCTGTTAGTTAATTAAGCCACAAGATCGCCGGTCAGACTCGACAGATCCTTTTTCGCTCTGCTTCCTGGGAGGCAATACGTGTATATATATATATATATATATATATATATATATATATATATATAGCAGTCTCATGGGGACCCTGCGCGGTGGTTGTTTTAAGGTGATAGAGCTGTCTGTTGCGGCCAGCTCGGTCACAGCCTGTAAAAATGTTTGTGAAGTGAAGAACCCAGAAAGTGTGGTCTTGTGCCAAAAAAAGGGTCTTCAGTCCCTCTGAGCACAGTAATGACAGAGCGACACATACCTCTGCAGATGTCGGGTTACTGGGAAGTCACTCGCTCTGCGTCTTTGTTGTAAACAAACTTCTCATTCTTTTATTAGACATTATAACAGACTGTATTTGTGCTGTACCCATCTTATGCCTAGATCTCATTAAACCTACCTAGACTACAATTAGCATGGCATCTTAATTGGCCTGGAAACTTAATTAATCTATATAACTTTGGAGGCAGGCCCATAAAGACGTACACTCACATGGCTGTAATATGTCAATGGAGACACTTGCAATGGAAATGCTTAGTCTTTCAGCCACCCAGGAGTATTTAGTAAGCAAAATGGCCTTTTCAACACCGCATCTTGTCCCCTTTTTCAAATTCTTAACACCCACCACTTATTCCAAGCGGGCGGTGAAAATGAGGCACACTGGAAATGGCTCCTGTTCTATCCAGGTCGCTTTACACCCGCTTTTATAACGCAACGCGGCAAGCATTACACGATGAGGGACTAATGATATATTTTCTCAGCTGGAACGTGGGAAATGCTCCGCCGACCCAACACAGTGTAGCGTCTCAGTAAATTAGCGTGCCACACTAAGCGAAAAAAAGTGAGCAGCTTGCCAGAGCCGTGCAATGCTTGGGACTCGTAGTGTAACAGGCTGTAATACCACACAGTGGGAGAGCCACTGGAGATATTGAACGTATGGGGAAAGGAAGCCCACTGTCAGCGAGAAGTCAGCAAGACACTCTTAAAACCCAGACTTCACCCCTCTGACAGCTCGGAAATATCCTTTTTAATAAGGGGGGAAAGTGGATTTGGCCAGACATCATCGTTCCTCCCATGGAAACTCATCTGTCCTGGTGTGAGGCGACACCCTCAGTGACTTCTAACTAAAGGGTTGAGTGGAGCAGACTGCTGCAGACCACCAGGCATGCAATGCACGTTGTATGCAATTCTCTGACTCCCTCTTTTTCTCTCAGTAAGTCAGTGGTTTTATTTAAATGTGTTTATTACTTATGTGCTCTTGTGTTATGTATACTTGTTTTCATCACATGGCTCTTGTGATATCACGCATCGACTACTGCAACTCTCTACTGGCAGGTCTTCCTACATGCACTATCAAACCCCTGCAGATGATACAAAATGCAGCAGCACGACTGGTCTTCAACCTTCCTAAAAGAGCACATGTCACTCCGCTGTTCATCTCCTTACACTGGCTCCCAGTTACTGCTCGCATCAAATTTAAAACTCTGCTGCTCGCTTACAAAACAGCGACAAAAACGTCTCCTCCTTACTTTAACTCTCTCATCCAGGTCTACACTCCCTCCCACTCACTACGCTCTGCCAATGAAAGGTGTCTGATCCAACCTTTACAACAGGTTCCTAAGCCTCTGACTAGACTCTTCTCCTCTGTCGCCCCCCAGTGGTGGAACGAACTTCCAAACTCCATTGGCTCTGTAGAGTCCCTCTGCACCTTTAAGAAAAAGCTAAAGACCCAGCTCTTTCATGAATACCTACTAACTTAATGATGATGGTGTCCATATTATTGATGATGATGATGGTTGTGATGATGGTTTTTGTTCAATAACGACGACTTATAAGATGGTTTCTATACTGATTAGAGCTCTCAAGAACTGCCCTCAATGTTGTGCTTTGCCTCTGGTCACTTCCTGTCAGCACCTGAGTGTCCAATCAGACTCAAAGCTGATCGTTTGCTCTTAGTGACATTGCTCCCTTTTTTTCTAGATCCTTGCTTGTGTTGTACTTACTCTCTGATGTACGTCGCTTTGGATAAAAGCGTCTGCTAAATGAATTGTAGAATTGTAGAATGAACTGAAAGTCAGGAAATATCTGATCTCTTATCAACTGACTGTTTTGACAGAGCTGAACTACTGATTAACTTCTATGTTACTTTTGAAGGTCATCAGCATACTGTCTAAAATGTAAAACTGGTTTGTTAGTAGGCAAAAGCTGGAATTAATGCATAG